AACTATCTGGGAAATTTATGAAACTCTATATCTTACTCCCTTAATTGGGATTTAATATAATATTTATTGACTAATATCTTAAATAATATTATTTGAGAGTTGTATACTCAAAATTGTCTTGTGGGGTAAATGTATGTACATATACATACATATATATATATATAATATAACCGTATACGAACTCGTATTTTCTTACTATTTGAATATACATATAGGTATGTGTGATAACTTGCAAAGCTTCTACTTGTTGTACGCCAAATTTGCTTTGCATTTGAAATTGGATTCACAGCTGAGTTGAGTAAATATCACACAGAAAGCTGTAATCTGTTGTGCTGGTAATTTCCTCGTTAGACGTTCGTTAGCTACCATCGAAAAGGTAATTGACTTTCAGTGATTCGGAAGGAAGTGGATTGTAATTTGTTTGTCATTTACACTGTGGTGCTGCTTTGCAAAGCAGCTCGTGTTTGCTATTAAAAATTATTCATTGCGAGTTTAGGGAGGTGAGTTTATTACTTTTGGTGTTGTTGTAAAGGCTTAAAACATTTCCAATAGTTCGAAATGCATTCTTTCGCTGGATAGAATATATGGTAAATAAGAGCTCGTTCAAGTTACATGTACAAAAGTTGTGGAGTTAATTTAGTTAGCTTGGCAGCGTTTGTCTATCGAAAATTGCGGTTTGTATTGAGCGTTTAACACGAATTAAGATATTCGCCACATAAATGTTTTTAATAATAAACACAATCCTGAACAGTTCGGTATTGTTTGCTTGAAACCCACGAATCTATCGTTAATATGCCTTTCTCCTGAAGCGTGAACCTATTAGCACGTGATGCATTCCCTCAAGAGGAAATATTTCGAATTATCTCCAAGTATTTCCAGTGAAAGTGTCATAATTTGTTAATAAACCGCTTGAAACAATTTGCGTTGTTACCAACTGTTCGAAAGTAGAATTGTGTATGCGATCAGAGTAGTCAGTAAATTATGTCAAGTGTCTAAGGGCGGCATGTGCACATATGTGTAATATATTCCACAAGTAAGTACCAAAACTAAGTAAGTACCTGTAAATCTTTCTGTGATATTCTTGCTTAATGCAGTAGCGGGGTTAAATACTGTTGCTAGGTTGGGTATTACAGATGGAGCAATAAATTGTAAAAAGCTTTAGTTGCCTTGTGATCTGTGATCTTATTAATTTAGCACACACTAGTCTGAAAATGTATAATCCCGTTTTTATTATATATTGAAGAGTGTATATTAAGTTTACCATGATGTTTATAACACCCGAAAGGAAACGTCGGAGACTCTAGAACGTATATTAATATATATAAGTATTTATGATCAGAGTGACGAGCTGAGTCGATTTAGCCATATTCGTATGTCTATTCGTCTGTATATACGCGACTAGTCTCTCAGTTTTTGAGATATCGATCCCAAATTTTGCACACGTCCTTTTCTCCCCAAGAAGCTGTTGATTTGTCGGAACCGGACCACTATAGCATATAGCTTCATACCGCATACAGAATGACCCGAATCAAGTCTTTGTATGAAATCGTTTTGTGCCTGCCGAAGGTATTTTCGCTTCGGTGCAACCGATGTTAACATGTTTCCTTGTTAAGCTCATTTACATATTTTTATACGCCATACATTTTTGTTGATAGCCTTAAGTTCACATAAAACAATGCTAACAGCCCTTCAACAAATAAGTCGGCGAAATACAATGTACCACATACCCATCAAGCATAAACAGCAAAAATTCCGATATTTATAGGTACGTATATGAGTATATCTGTAAACTCTAGGGTGGTGATGCGCGAAAATTCCTTTTCCCAGCAACGCAAATTTGCTTATTTTAAGAGAAAAAATTCACTCAAAACTCAACTGTATTTTAGGGCATAACGCATTTTTAAATAAAGTGTTGTTGCCGGAAAACGGAATAAATTTGAATACTATTGCACAGCTGTTTAGAGAGATGGCGAAGGCGGTTGGGATGCTCATCAATGTTATTTGTTACGCGTTGTCACTGTCGTTTTTCAGCTTTATTGCATGAAAGCCATTTAAATTTAAATTCTGACTACGCGAAATACAGTGACTTAAAGAAAAGTTGCGGCATAATTTCCTATATGTTTAATTCTACTTTTTTGCTTTAGTTGCCCCAAAAACTTTGTTTTCGTGAACTAAATAATATACCATTGATATTGCTGTTAGATTTTTTTGAGTGGTTAAATGTGATTTTCACTTCTAGCTTGTCATTATTTGAAAAAAGCCTCCTCTCCTTACCTCTCCTTCTCTTCTTCTGCAAGAATAATAGTGTAAGTATTTTATGTTCCTTTATATGATTGTGTGAATCTTCTACAAGTTTTTGCTTGATAGATTTTCTTTGAATATGGGTGAACGTATATGTGTTTTTTATGCTCTAGAACCTTATGCTGAGAAATAGCTTGGTTTTTTTTCTGTGCATACACTAAAATCTGAGGTTAGGATTCTAGCTTTAGAATGACAGTGCACTCGGTGGAGTATAAAAAAGTGGAGTTACGTGAAAAATAAAGATTCGTGAAAATATAAGCTTGGTGAGATTATGGTTAAGTGTGAAGAAGTTTTAAATTTAAATCATAATATACATACATAGTACATATGTATAGTATTTACTAAATGTGTTCAAGGAATATGAGTGAATAAGAGTATAGAAAAAGAATGTTGTGAGGAGCATAAAAAGTTATTTACCATAAGTAAAAGTAGATAAGTATGAAATGAATGTAAAATGAATGTAAATAAAACTGAAACGTGAAAAATATTATATCAAACTAGGAATAAAGTAGATTTTAAGCAGATTTAAAGAAGTAAATATGAACAATATGTGTATTTCTGATCAAAAGAAGATAATAAATAGAAAAAATATTTATTCTTTGTTGGTATACATACGAATTTATATTTGCGGAATTAAATTTATTTTCGCTTAACTAGGATAAAGCAATAAGTTAACTGCCATCGAAATCACTTAACGATAGACCCAGTAAACGAACTACTTCGACAAGTTTCGACCAAAGGGAGAGGGAAGTTAAGTGATTTGGTTTCATTGGGCATGCAAAGATCTGATTTGCGTCAGGCGGGGACTCATTGCATGTAGGACATATAGTTTGTATATCAGCGTCCATTCTGGGTAAGTAGGAATTTAACCTGCTACGGTATCCAGACGAAGTTGCGTAAGGGTAACTCTGGTTTCACGCGGTAACTTGTTCTCCTGTGGGTGGTTTTTGGACTTGAAGTACGAAATTCGCGTAGATGAAGTCAGTGAAGCTGTTCATTCTTTGCACAAACTAAAATCACAAGCTTATAAAATCACGTCTAATCTTAGCGGCTACTACAGATAAAGTAAGCAATATAATACAGCTGAAAATTTTATCGCTTCACCCCTTCAGAAGCATGTATATGTATATAAAAAACTTGACAGACCCGCGAAATTTTAATTTTAAAACTCCATTATTTTCTGGATCTAAATGATACAATATCGCTGTTCAATTAAGATGATGAAAAATCAGATGTAGCTTGGTCTAAACAAGAGTAAAGAATGGTAATGGTGAAATACGATGTACATATATCTAACAGCTGAGAAGATCCCGAAATCTAATATAATGTCTTGAACTTCTTGACTTGAAGGATTTTACTAAAGTTGATTTAAATTATGTGCAATATGTGAGCTAAATACTTCTCCAACTAACATTTTATCATTTAACAACATTTTATTTTAATTTTTATTTACTATTAGTGTATTTTACATATAGTCAATATACAATAATACTTCAGAAGGTTATACACGTCGTATGAGTAACAAATGCATAGAAAAACAAGAAAAACCGCTGTAATATCCTTCACAGGTGCATAACATACAAGGACCTAATCTTGATTTTGATCAGTCAGATTGTATGGCAGCTATATGCTTTAGTGGTCCGATATCGGCGATTCTCACAAATAAGCAGTCAATTAATGTCTTCAGCGAGAAGTACATATGTAGTGCAAACTATTACCTAGTTTTGAAAGTGGAAAATATAGTAGAGACATCGGGCCGAGATTTCAAAGACGCTTTCATTTTTAATTTTCCAAATATTTTGCCATAATCCAAAAATTTGAATTTATTTGACTCCAATTGTTTAAATTAATTAACTTTTAAACAATATAATTTTGTTAAATATATTTATTAAATACTCTATGTCAACAAATTTGAATCTTTATTCTCTTATTAAACTAGTATGTACTTTCAGCAGGGCGCTCCAAGAGATTAACGGCATATCATTTACTCAATTGAAGCTTCAAGCAAACATTCGTTCATCGGTATTATTAATGACCTTTGCACACACTACCATGTCGAAAATTGCAGTTATGAAACAATTTGAAAGCAATTCATTCACTCAAAAGCTTTTTAAAATTTATTGTTAGTGTGCTTATTACCACTTAAGTAGCCTTAAGAGTTTTAAAAGGATTTATGATTTGCTGATTGTTATTAAAACCCTCAGAAAGTTAAATGTGGTCAAGTGCAAATTCAGTAGTCTGGGTTGTGGTTGCGGCTTTGGGCAAAAATATTCTTCAAGTATGAAAAGTCATTATTAAGTATGTTTGGATTATATGAATTGTGAAAGAGTCAGTGAGTATGCACAATTGAATGTTTAAGCAAAATCTAATTGCTTGTTTGTAAATTAATTTTTAATTTGATTTCAATTACTTCACATTTTATATTCTTTAAAAATAGTTTAAATAACTCAAAGTAGGAAAATGTAAATATCCAGCAAATTAATTATGCATAATTCTTCTTTTTTAAATTTTTATTATTCATGAAATTTTTATTTCTACTATTTATATAATATAAACTCACAGTGTTGTTTGCTAACACATATGTATATTTATTTTTTAACAATCAAATGTATATGTATGTATGTGTAAATATTCAACAAATGTTTTTATTTCCCATACTCAACTTGTTTTTCATCACTTTTTCTCTTTTCTTCTTTCAGAAATTTAGGTGTCATTGACGGTTTGACTAACCATTTGCAGTTAGAAGAAGGTATGTGAATAAAATAGCTTTGAATGCATTTGATGGCGATATGAAACGAATTCATATCCCATGAGAGAAAAGCCTTGCACTTATTACTAATTAAAAAATATGCCTAATAAATATAATGTACATTGCTCAATAGTGGTTTGCCCTAGATATATGATCGATTTTGAATATATTTGTATCCACAATTCATAACATTATCTATTATTTTGCAACATTTGCTCTTGTTTATTTTATAAATTATTATTTTCATTTTACATTACAAAATCAGAATATATGGACAAAATAGCAGATATCTTTATAATATCAGTTTTGTTTGAAAAAATATGAATACATCAAAGTAACAAGTAAACAAACATAGAGAATATTGTAGAAAATATATGTTATACTTCAATAAAGATCCTTTTATGATCATTTCATTTATAATTTTACAGACAGAAATTTCTATTTAAGGACAAATTCTGTATCTTTCTTTAATTGCTGTACTTAAGGGTTATCAAGTATTTTGCCTTTCAACTTTTCGATACTAAGCTACGGAAATTTTCGATAAATGTTATTAAAACAATATCTCTCCATGTTCTTCGCTTTGAAAGCATGCTGTATCATTCTCGAGTTCTTTTTGAGAATAAAATTTTGGCGTAACCGCTTCATCTTCCCATTCACTTCCATCGGTAGACTGTACCGATATCTGGTTTTTTGGTGACATCATTGTTTCTGAGTAGTCCATGCGAATTACTTTTAAAACGTAAACAAAATCTTCATTTAGTAAAACAGAACATTTTAGAGACTGTAAAATAAGATATCTCCACGTTTGATTTTTATTAAATCCTTTAAATCTTCTGCATAATAATTCGCATATTTTCGGTAAGGAGCCTGAGTGTAGTGGATCACGTGACAGGGCAACAAAAAAAAATTGTTTCGTAGAGCTTCGCAATGTTTGTAATACAAATAATAATTTTTCTTTAAAAGTAAAGTAGAGCACGTGTTATAATAAATGATTGCTGTATTTTAAAAATCAAAAAGTTATTAAAAATTTCAAAACCGTAAACAATATATCTTTCTAAGTTGTTATATCCATCTTTTTTTAAATAAACCACGTTGTTAATTTTTTTCTAAATTCTTTCAGCTCCTCCCCTTCAATTACCGCTTCTTCAAACTATGTTCTAACTAACCATATTTTGTAGCCCATACTTTTCTGCTGTTGTATTCTCTTTGCCGGTCCAATATTTTTTATTGCTACATGTTTATATATACATGCGTGCCAATAAAAATGGAGTGTCTTCAAATTGTGAAGAAATTGAGAAAAAAAAATATAAAAAATTGTAGGAAAAAGTTTTGCTACAACACAACACCTACGGCTGTTTGTCTCATTTTCAGTTTCGACTAACGATGCTAAAGTGACAAAGGACACGTAGTGCGAAGAACAAGGCGAACAGGAAAACTTTTCTCGCTACAAAAAAGCTTCCATAGAAATATGCCCACATGCCTGTGTGTGTCTGAATTTTTCGTTTTATTGCTTTGTTGTCAATTGTACATATTTTTCACACCAATCAACACTTGTAGATTTCAGGTGTTTGCAATCCAAGTTATTTAGTTAGAATACACAAATATTTAACACTTATTGATTTTCTTCGAAGTGTGAGAAAATAAAAACTTCCACACTGCACATAAATTAGCCAGTTTGCCAAGTTCATGGGCATACTTATTCACGCCTGTATCTATATGAATATGCTCATAAAGTCATGAAAGTGGTTTACGATATACTTAAGTGTCATAATAATAGTAAGAAGCTTTCTTAAGTGAGTACAATGATGTGATTTTCATACGTTTAAAGCTAATATCGAAAGAGCAAACAAGGGAATGTCTGTTATATAATCACCGTTGTGGGTAGTAAGAGTATTTCTCAGATATTTATAAAAATGAACATATAATAAGATAAGTTTCTTTTCGTTAGCATAAGGCGATCAGGAGCTTGGCAATCGGTAAAAAAATCATTAAAATGCCAATGTGGCTGACAACATATGTTTTCGTTACCGGGATACAAGTATGTCACTTAGTAGAGACTATCCCTCGCACATGTATCGCAGAATATTAGAAAGTCACAACAACTTTATTTGTAAAAATTTCTGTCGTTCTTAAGTTTTTTATTTATATAAATCACGGCTGATAAGGCTGGCTTTACTATTTGAAAAAAAATACGCCTTATTGGCTCAACTAAAAGTAGAACACTTTATGCATGAGTCAATCTATTATTTTCTGTCTCTTTGAGAGTTTCTTTTATTTGGGATATAAAATATTCTCATATTCGTATAGAACTTTGTTTATGTATATATATTATATATTTTATATATACAGCTAGCGCTGAATGTTCTTGCTTCGACAGCAAATTGTCGGAATTTAAGTTCCTTAGCTCTTAGTTTATTTTAAAAATTGATTTTCTATAGCTGGTAGGGATATTAAATTCAAAACTAATTTTTGACCAAATTTTTTCTCCGATTTGCTCTTCTTTAATTGGTATGTCTCACCCAAACGTTGTAAAAACGTCCAGTTTCAGGTAATGCAACAGACAGGTTTTGTTTCAGTACCATAATTAAATATCATATACTGCTATATCACCCGTAAGATATGTTAAATTAAATGTCAGTCACTGCATTTAAGAAATGTTCTTTTGTTTAATTGTTTCACATTGCTAAATAATTACTATATATGCAACGGCTTGTGTTATTTAATTTAAATTGGAAAGTTTTCACGTTCCAATTAATTTTCAAATTTAAAATTAGGTGTTTTTAATTTAATAACATTGTATGCATTCTTGCATTTGACATCTGTCAGTGTGGCAAAAATGTAAACAAATAATTCTTTGCAAATACACAAAGCAATCATTTCTAGATTTGTATAATGACATGAATGAGTTTCATATTTAAATTGAAGCTGGCAGCGCGCTTAGAAAAATCTAACTAATCTACGAAAATGAACGATGTCTCTTTTAAATTTAGTTATATGTTAAATATTCTGTATTTGTTTCTCATTTGTAAAAAATTTCATATTCTAAGAAAACAATCAAAAACTTATAAAAGGGTGGCAAAACTGCAAGATACCAAGCTAGCAAGATATTTATATATATGTCTCATATACCAAAATAATTGTCGTAATTTTATATAATTACTAGTTAGTATTTTTTTTGTAAATGTACATGTTTTTTATTTACCTTTTCAATACAATGCCACTTATCACAAAAATTCCTTCTTTTAATGCCTGCAAGACATGTGCTTCTCAGAATGCAACAGGTTTCTCTATTACCCGACTATTTTCTAACCGGCAAACAAATATATTCTTGCACATAGTCTTATTTAGAAGGGCGCCTTCGTAGCAATAATATGCACTACAGTTTGCTCTTGGTAAGAAACCAATAATGTTAAATGTTATGAACGAAATCTTTATTTGTTTGTTTGTTACTGGTTTATCGTTGTCATTTGCGTTACACGCTTTAGATGGATATTTTACCTGTCACTAGAAAGCGGAAGTTAAGTGATGGAAGTGAGCAAGCGAAAGCTTTGAGAACAACTATATTCTCTTATTTGTATGAATATACGAGTATGTTTATATAATATTTACATATACATATAATACTATATGTTGTACTATAATGTCAAAAATACACCTCAACTCAATTTATTAGCAATGCAAAATGTGAGGGTATTAAGTTCCATAGATACATCAATGCAAATATTTTGTATTCAAGGTAACTCTTTTTTGCTTTTCTTGTGGCAGCGATGCCATAAAATCCGTGCACTTTAAGGAAAATATGTTGAGTATAAAATCTTGTGGAATAAGCAGGGAAATTAAAGGAAGTTAAATTAAATACTTCTATATAATGTCACATGTTGTATATATAGTTTGAAGCCTTAGATTACTGATTTTATTATTTTAGTTTTTAACTCGGTCGACATTACCAATGACGCACTGGGTGGAATATTTATTTTCTTATAACAGGAAGATATAAGGAAAAGTTGTACAGATAAAATTGCTCACTGACTCTAAATTAATAATTTAAAACAATCTTCATGCTCTCTTTGCTTTATCTTCATTTTATTAAAAGACCGCTTGATTTTGTAAGCATTTGGTATTGATCCAATATCAGCGCCATTCCCTGACACATTGACTTAACTTGTTTTGTTGGTACCGTGAAAACTCAGAAAGCTAAAGTTTCATCTGTAGCTCTTAAAATTTATATAGCAAAAAAATGAATGCTTTGTACGAAACATGGAGTGCAAAACATTGATCGTCCTAATGAAAATTAAAAAAAAGAAAGGGAGTGATATGTGAAGAAGTCAACAAGTGAAGAAGTCAACAAGTGTTCGCACACATTTATTGAAAGTGATTTAAAAGTGGTTTTAGTAATCCAGAAAAATTATTACAAATATGACAAAAAAAAAAAGGAAAAATTGGTAAGTGATTTCTAAATTGTCACCATATATGTTATATTAGAATATATAAATGTTTGATAGATTAAAACATTAAACAACTTAGGGCATTTATAAAACTGACAGCCAACAGAAGTTTGCAGACTGAGGGAATTGAAGTGAACATAAAAAAAGATAAATGTAAGGAGATCAAAAGAAATCTTACCAAAAATATTTTATTTGTATAAATAAATGCCAACAAGTACGAAATATCTGCAAAGGTATAAGTTTATGATATGTAGGAGATGAAGTTACTAGTATGAGTTTATGATATGGTATGAAATTCGAATTAGAAGGCAAACTTGTATGTCAGAAATATTTTGTATTGTATAAAAAGAATTATCTATTACTCTGTCGTTCGTAAAAATACTTTTATTTTTGCCACTGTTTATGAACAAATGACACAAAATGGCTTAATTTTTTTTGACGCTTGCTTAAACAATTTCATGTCATTTATGCATACGATTAAATTTGTTCAAAGCTTTTCGTTACCACTTACTTTTTCATAACACTTACAATGCAATGCCTTTAATATAATATATA